GTCAGATAAAAAGGGAACAACTTTTTACTTTCTCGTTCTTACGAAGAAAATTATGAAAAGCTGCCGAAAAAAGCGGCGAATTTTCGGCAGAAAAACACTTGTTGCCAGACCCCGGTAAAGAAAAAGTGAACAAATTCAGTTGTTATTTTTTTTAAAAATCCTCTAATATATGGTGTACCCAGAATCCATGTTTTGTGGGTCCTTGATACCGAAAAATCGAGTGACGCTTTTGCCGCCATGTGTGTCCGTGTGTGAACAACGCTAGTAGCTAAACCGTTAAGCTAATTTTCTCCAAAATTGATATTTCGATCTGGCTGATGTCTCGGCTCCTTGAATTTGAAACTGGTATCGTATTTTTTTTGGAGAGGATACTTTACATTAAGACCCTGGGACATATTCAAAAATTTCAAAAAATGGCTCTATCGATTTTGATTAAAATTTTTATTGAATAGTCTGAAGAACGTTTAAGAGAATGGTGTAGGTCTTATTTTCGTTTAAAACCCCGATTTATTGAAAATTGCAAATATTCAATTTTTTTCCGTCTCTTCGTACAACTACAATTATGAATATTTTTTATAATGAAATGTGTTTACTAAAAACAGATGACAAATTATGTCATCTTCAATTTTTAGAAAATAAGAGTATTTTTTCGTAATTTTGTGTCAAACGCAGGCAATTTTTATTTTCTTTACACAGTTTTTCTTAAAAACGGCACCAAATCTTTTGATTAAATTTGACCTCATATAGCATAAAGGACGCTTAACCTAACAGTGCAGGTCTCATGTATGTTAAAATCCCTGATTTTTCGAAATTTGCAAAATAGAATATTTTTCGGCATCATCCTACAACTACAGCTATGAAGACGTTTTTCTTATTAAAATGTGCTCATTAAAAACAAATTTTCAAAAAAGGACACGTTCAATTTTTGGAAAATATGAGTATTTCTTGCGGAAATTTGAAAAGAATTCAAAATGGTAGATTCGAATTTCCCACACTTCGTTTGTGGCGGTGTCAATCTGTAAAAGTAATTTGCGAGGCGCATGGAGGTAGTTGGATATTCTGAAAATCACTTTTCGTTATTAAACTTAATATTAATGAACTTAATAAATTAACTTAATATTACAATCGTAAAACGAAAATATGTATCTTATTATACTCATTAACTTATGGACGAAAACTTATATCTGTATTAAGTTGCGATTGAAATTCATATTACATAAGCGTTATATTGCGAAGAAGAAAATGCTTACTTGCTTTCATTGGCTCGAAGAGCAAAGTAATATCAAAGTGATTAAGTAGGAATATTTATTGCTTTGAGCGTTTCATTCAGGGCTTAAAGACCGTTTTAAATTCTAAGATTTGTCTTGATGCGCGCGGTGTTGCCGACTTTTATTTTATTTTTAATTATAATCTATTTAATAATAATTATATTTTTAATTATAGTTTACTTTTGAAAATCCTAATATTATTTTTTACTCTCTTTTACAATTTGTATTCTCAATGTATTGGTGTATTTTCTTCCAACCAATCCGTAATCCTTAATTGAAATTAGCTCAATTAGATTTTCTCTCGTAAAAATATGATTTAAAAGAAAAATGAAAGAAAAGTTAAAATATTGAGTATGACAATTTTGTATGAACTTTTATGTACGATAATTTCCGTTCACTTTTCAGCTATCTGGCAATACTGGTTATCGCGTTGCAATTGAACAATACGAACTTCGCGATGCGGCGTGAAGTTCACAGAACACTCATTGACGGGCAGTGTTTCATGATGAGTGTTTCTTGTGAAAGAAGATGGTATCGACGACGAGGATGTAAATAGCGGGTTTAAATTTTTGTATTCTGGTGTTAATATGTTTTTGTTTCGTTTTATAGTCTTGTTTGTCGTAATTAGTCGTAGTTAACCAATTAGAGTAGATTAAATTTGTATAATAATAAACTTCTTTAATTTACAATTATTAATTAGATGCAATTCCGTTGATGCTATGACAACACCGTTCTGGCCGCAACGTATTGTAGACAGTAGCGACTGCCAACGCCGGATCGCGTTATTGATTTCCAGTTTTTTAAGGGCAAAATTACGCATAAAATTGTCGAATTTGTGTTAATAAATTAGCTTTAAAATAATTAGTTTTCGTACCTTTGGTTATATGATTTGTTATGAGTTTTACAAGTGATGAGGGAGATGGGCAGAAATTGCGGTATTATATGCTGAACATTTCAATAAATATATTTTGCAACGTGCGGACGAACTTGTGATCACCAACAGGGCGCCCGGCAGTGACAGCGGAGCGTCGACATCTGACAGATGACAGCAGAGGCCTCGAACCCCGCGCTTCGGCGAGGGATGTATGCCGGTTTGTTTACATATATTTTATTATCTCGTTGGACAAGGAAATGTTTAGATTTTTTATCTTATTATTTTTATCGATTATTTTTTTGTCGTGTTTCACCCTTTTTCACACAGCGTCCAGCAATATTTTTCTTTGCTCGAAAAATGTTTATAATAAGATCATCTAGGTAAAATAAGGTGTCTGCCACGATGCCCTTATACACCAGCATTTAGAGCGATTACTTAGGCTTTATTTTTAAAAAAATGTTAGTGAATTACTCTCTACGATATATTTGTACATCAATAAGGTTTGCATTATTCGCGATTTTACCGGCTCGGGCTATCTCGCCCCTCTTCTGCCGAGAAAACATCGCATTAAATGCTAAGAAGTCCGAGTCGTCGCGTTCTATTGTAATCCAAATCGTTTACGGCGTCTCTGAGATACGCAACAGTTATTAGTCCAATGTGATTATACGATGGAGCACGGAGACCTTCCAGAAAACGGCATGGAGACCTTTCAAGAAACATACAGAAACTTTCACGTAGGAAAGTTGCAAGATCATTTCAAAGAAGCAAACTAATACGCTTGGATTACAATACGAAAATCACGATCGATACCACTTAATGTGGCACTGTGGAGACACGAGGTATGACCAGCTCTTTGCCAGTGAAGTTGCTAATTAGACATTGCTTGGTTAATCAGATGTTGAACAGGAGCACGAGAATGTTTTGGTCAGTAATCGTATGAAAAAAGTAGTCCAACGGTCTATAACACATTATCTGAAGGACAATTCGTGATCGTATACTGTACTGTTTTCTCTACACAAATATTAATAAATGCAGTACATGAAGGTAATTTAATTAAGCAAAACACAAGAGATTTATTTGAATTCAGAACAATGTTACTACAGTATATCGTAGCAGTTGCAACAGAAGTATCGTGTATTAATCTTAATAGTAAGATGTTTTCCATAAAATACTACTTTTAAAGATATTACGTGGTTGAAGTAGAGAGATTTCACTAAATTTCCTGGATGAATAGAGCGATGGCTCATCAACATGTCCCTTGAACAATAAATTCTTACATATATCCTAAGTCTCCTCAAATTAAATGTCAATTTGCATGGGTCATATACTATTAAATCTGCAAGGGCAAACTATATGATTTTCTGGGGTAATGGTGATGTGGTGGTGGTGGTGGTAAGACTTTCGTTCAAAATGCGACGTAAACAGGAAAATCCATTTTGTCGGAAGTACCATGTCGCACTCATTAAAGACAAGGCAAGGCGATTATTCAAATCAATTTGTTTAATTCGTCGTATTGTTTTAAAATGTTTTTAAAATATTGATGTAAATCAACAAAACCGTTTTTCTCTCATCAATTTTTCTCAAATTATTCCTTTTTTAAGATCTACAATAATTTAACGGTTTGGCCAGAACATAACGCCACTATCAGGTTTTTCAATTCAGTCAAACCTTCAATGGAAAGCCCATTTAAATAAACTGAATTCTAAATTAAGTTCTTTATGCTACGCTTTCAGAATTATTTCAAATTCAGCCAGCCTTTATACAGTTCGTTGTATATATTTCGCGAATGTTCGTACCTCACTGAGATATGGCATAATATTCTGGGGAAATACATCTTATAGCTCCCAGACTTTTCGATTACAAAAACGAATTGTACGAATAACAAGCAAATCCCACCCACATGATTCTAGTGGGCCTCTATCAATATCTAGGTATTTTACCTGTCTCTTGATATACGAATCACTGTTGTTGTTGTTGTTGTTGTTGTTGTTTTTTGTCAAAAATGACTTACTTAAGGGCGGGAATATATTTTCAGCAAACGTCGATGTCTATAACTACAACTCTCAACGTAGTAGTTATATTCATCAGGTGACAGTTTCAACAGATCACTACAAAAAATTCACATATAATACATGTACATTATTTTACAACACCTTGGCAGATGACATTAAACGATTAAATCATTGTCGTTGAAGTCTCTGATTTTTCGAAAAGCGCAACAGTTTAATTGTTTTCTGCAACTTCTTACAATTACAATATTGAAAATAAAGATTTTCTCCCCAATGAAATATGTTCTTCAAAGACAGTTTTTAAAAAAATGTTCTCCTCTATGTATCAAAAAACTAGAAAATGGTGTTGGTCCCATATCCGGCAAACTCTCTCAATTTTTGAAAATTCTAAAAGTTAACATTGTAAAAGTACAATATTGAAGATTAAGTCTTGTCTTAAATTAAATTTGTTCTCAAAATTCAGATATTTAAAACATGTGTGTATATTTTTTGGAAAAAACGAAGTTTTCACATAATTTTTGATTGCAGTTAATACAATTTACAAACACCAACATTTTCTCAGAAACTGCTCCGTTTTTCTTCAAATGTTTTCCACGCGTAACACATGGCTCAGGTTAATTTTCGTGGAACTCTGTGAATTTTCGAAAATTGCAAAATTTGTAAATAATGCGAGGAAGCATGTTATGTTGTACCCCTACTAGTTTATAGTATATTGAATGGCATGGATTTTCAGGAAGACGGCACAATTGCCGCAGTTGGGAAGCCAGAAATCTCAACATGGTCGTCGCTGCATCTTTCAATCTCGGTAATAACGCCTGTGTTGACATGATGACAATGTTGATGATGATTATAATAATAATAATAATAGTTTGTTGAGTCACATTTACAGTTATAATCGTTTATGACGAGTCTGTTAGGGAATTACATTCTACTTAATAACAATATAACAAAAATAATAATAATAAAAAATAAGCAAAGTAAATAAAATATCTATGATTTAATAATAGTAATATTATGAATAATAAATTTGATGTTGACTGTGTCCATTGGGTAGTAAGGATGCCCTAACAGTCCCTGGAAATGGAGGAGAGTTTTGGCCAGGTTTTCTACCTCTACCGCAAGTCGTGCTGCAGCACCTGCAATCAAATTACACATGTTAGTCAGTGAGGAATTCTTGAACTATATAGACACGTTTCTGAAGGAAGTGTTTGAGTGGAGCTGTGTGGTTCTGTAATGTCATTCAAATGTTTCGGTAATCGAATATTACGAATTATATTTTCTGAAAACTTTATATTCAAATGCAATTTGATATTTCAACAATTTAAATTCTTAATAAAATGTTTTTATTCTTCTCTTAACTACAGTAGTACGACACACGTACTCTAGTCTTTGTTTCAGAATGTCACATTTATTACAGAATGTGTTAGATTATAGTTATTATATTCCTTCAAATATCAAAGCAAATTCTTTATTTGACAATTACATTCATAAAAAGAAAATGTATGTGCGGAGGTCTTTCATCCCTTCCCTCACCTGAGAAACCCCATCTCCCCCTTCTCTATGTAGCGCATCTCCCATGAGTCAGGCGGTACTGCGAGAACGTGAATACCGGGTCAAAACCCATGAGTGCTTTCGTACGAGAGGAAGGAGAATATTATATTGTCAGTAGCAATTGCGGAAGGCACTGTAAATTATCTTCTGAATGCTACAACCTGCGTCTTTGATATTGAGAAGTCGGAATTGCTTAATCCTTTATTACGTGGGTTACTGACTCAAAACGATTCTTACAATATCTAGAATGCATCATTAAGAGGAGAGGATTTGCAAAACTGTTTCGACGAGTTCTTTCTTGTAGAAATTGGCTGTTCTTGTCGCTTCGTTTTAGATCTGTTTAATCCTACTACATGGCCTACTACCCTTCACTGAACATCGTACTAGTTTCCTTGTTATCTAGGATACATCTAGAAATATGAAACTATAAAAAGAACCGAGGCCTTATTTCACTCTAGTTGACTATTACGTACTTCTCTTGGGCACATAAGCAATCAATAAATTACGAAGAATCTGTGGTAAAGGTCTACTATCAGTTCATTCCGGTTTAATGACTACTTATCTTGAGCAATAAACAGTCAATAAACTACCATGAATCAATAGTAAAGCCTTATTATCATTCATTCTGTTCTACTAACTGCTCTACGATAAGAGCAAAGATTCATCTGACAATCTTTATACCTATTTAATTGAAATTATGGAATAGATCAAAAGTCACTTTATTTTCAACTAGAGAACACTGAAAAAGTTTACGCAAATGCCGTGGCACTGCGGTCTAGATCCACTTTGTTCGGTGTATTGGACATTTAATGCACTACTGAAACATCACTGCATAATAAATATGAATAAAGAAATAATCAATACACAAAAATCACACTTTTAATATTTATTAAAACAGTCTCAGAGTATTTTACTTCAGTATTTTAGGCGCGCGCGCATCAAGATGACCCAGCAAACATTTTCGAGTCTATTTCCTCATCGTCAGATCTTCCTTTCACACAATTGAAATTAATCATAGCATCAATAACATACTGAGAAAGAATAAAATATTAAAACATAAAAATAAAATAAAATACACTTACACAAATAACGTAAAAATGGTAATTAAGCACACACCGTTGCTTGCTCCATTTTGTGCTCTGGAGAACTACAAGCTGGGGTGATGGAGCGATGTATAAGCATATTAATTAAAAAAAACTGCATACATTAATTAGAACATTAAGGTAGGAAAAAGGAGGATTTTTACAAATTTTATGATTTCAAAAATGTATAATGTATTTAATTTTTGTTCTTTGAAAACTACAAAAAGTTAACATTTCAAAACTGTAAAATTAAAAGATATAGTTCTCTGCCTTAGACAAAGTCTACTGTAAAAAAAAATCAGCTCTTTAAAAAATGTCAGGAACAGTTTTTTTATCGATGCTTTGTGGTCACAGCGTGACAGTGAGTTCCCCAGCAGCATATCTAGGGTCAGGCTCTTCGATTCCATGCCACGACGTCTAGAGCCTGTGATGGCAGAGCGTGGCAGCTTTACGCCGTACAAAATACTTACGGTCAAAATGCATGTACAGTTTTGTAATTCTAATCATTTGTACATTGTGATATTCTTACTCTATAGAAAAAATTTCATTGTAATAGTATGTCCCCCTCTTGGTGGTGCAATTTTCACAAACACCCGTGTATTTTATTTATTATATATTTAGTGCCAATTACAAAGACTCTAAAAATGTTTCGGAATTTTTTTTGTTTTGCAGTATTCGAAACGGTAATTGTACTTTGCTTTTATCGACCTTTTTCCTTGACAGCAGTTGCCTCTTATTTTTTGGTTTGAGCCTTGTCTTTCCGTCCAAAAGTCGTCGTCCTGTGTTTACTTCTGTAACGCATGGCTTCTATTTCTCCCAAATCTTAGGTTGCCAGGCCTTCTCTATTTTTCTTCCTGGAGGAGAACAATCAAAAGACAGATATAAAACACATTTTATGTGACAGCCTTCTCATATGGTCATACCATTGGAGGGTTTTACTTTATTGGCCACAACGAGATTCCATGTGCTATGCTGGATCAGCTCCCGAATCTTAGCATTTCTAATTTCCTGCATTCTAGACACTTTCTTAATTCATCAATGCCTACTGCACATTCCATGCATGTTTCATCTCCTGACCTTCTGTCAAGATCTATCTTTCCCCACCATGATTTAGAACACCTTCAATAAAAGTTCCTCCTTTTTTCATCCTTACGTGAGTTTCCCAACTCCATAATATCCCATGCAATATCCTAATAACTCTTGCCTGTTTCATGCGGTCATCAGCATTATTTTAATTATTTATTGAGTCGAAGAACAGTAAAAACTGTATGTGACATATGGGAAAGTACCATTTGGGCACGTGTTCTTGAGCTCCAATATTCCTTCCCAACATTTTAAATGGAAATAGTTGTATGATGAAAAAAGTAAAATTAAAAAAGCGCGGGATTAGCAATATTAAAAAAACTAGACATTATCATTTCTGATTTATAGAAAACTTATTTTCATTGGTAAACGAACTTCAGATTTGATTTTTTTGCATTGCTAACAAAATAGTAACATCCCCTCCGACTCTACTCATATCACTGCAAGCTAAAGGAGAGCTCAACTAAACGTGAGCATAGTAAAGCTATATTTATGTCCGGAAGCAAAACAAGGGATCATCTCAGCATTTGCTCAATGGATCAGGGAAACTCGACAAAAATCTGATCGAGATGGGGGACATTGCCCGGGAAGCTGAAGTATATTATTTGTTACAGGCATATTAAGACGTTTTGACAAAAATATACAATACAAATGTAAACTAATGCATTACAGTAAATCATTGTTAAAATAACTATTATTTTTCTTTGATGATCAGTATAATCTCTAGTTGTATAGACACAGTTATGCAGCAGAAATTATTTTACTTTTAACTTAAATTTGTGTACCGATTTCAATTATTTAATGTCACTGGCAATGAATGTAAAGTAACATACATGTATTATATGTGCATTTCTTCTAGTAAGTTGTTGATACTGACACCTGATGAATGTGATTTCTACGACATTTGTTGTAATTATAAATATCAGTATTGCATTAAAACATATTCCCACCGTTAAGTAACTCCGTTTTGACAAAAAACTACAGATTCGTAAATATATAGGCAAGACAATGGTAAGATTACAAGCTCGATGAAGAAAGGCTTGCAAGAAACACTTGGATGGCAATTTTTTTATTACTCGAATACTGTTTTCTGTAATCTAAGTATCGAAGTATTGTATGATAAGCTTCCTCGGAATTTTATGTAATATCTCAGGCATGAAAGCACTACATTTGTAAAATAGACGCAACGAGCTTCCTGAAGGCTAACAGAATTTGAAAGAATTCGGAATGCGTAACATAATGAACTTAATTTAGTGTTTAATTCTGTAATATGTATATTCCATTTGAGGTTTGACTGAATTGGGAGACCCCGAAATTTTGTTACCTTAACATCAGCTAATTGCCTATTGTTCATTTTCAATGAAGCATGTGATTGCCGATTTGAAATAAAAAATGCATTGAAACCGTTTTTCCTTAGTTCACTATTTTTTATTATGTTATTTCGAAGCCAATTTGAAACTTCTGAAATCGTACTATTTACTGTTTCTGTTTTGTAAGGAACATTCGTGTCATCGGCGGCTGTTCTTCCATTGTTAATGGACGAGGGCATATCGTTTACGTATATCAGCATGAGGATAGGACCTAAGATCACACCTTGTGGGACCCCATGCTCAATTGGCAAATAATTGGAAAGATAAGAAAATAATGTTCTTTCGCTCCAGAACGGTATTTCTTCTCTTTGAGATCGATGTTTATGGTTCGCGGTTATCCAATCCTGGGCAATACCAGGAATTCCATATGAAGGTAATTTAGAGAGCAAGATGTTATGGTTAATAACGTTAAAACCTTTATAAGATAAATATCCTTTTCATAATATTTTCAATTTTCACAAAATAAAACATCCTTTCCACAATTTTGAGTCTTACATAAGACTGTACCGAAATATTTAAACTGTTCTACTAATTTACTAGTTCCTACTCCTTGAACTTTCAAATCAGTTCATTCTCCTCATACTATTAGATCTTTTTCTCAAATTTCATTTAAATTCACATGTACATAGGTCTCCTTTTTTCGAGTACCCCTCATGCTTGTTTATGTCTGCATTGTGTATGGGCGTTTATTATCAGACTCAGCTCCGGTCAGAGCCACTGCGTTGACTTTGCCGATGCAGCTCCGAGCAAAACTCAAATGCTACTTTGCAAAGGATTCCACGACAATTTGATCGTTCTTGTGGTAATTGGGGCAAATCCTACAGTTTCCAAGGACACGATGATAGTTTGACTGATGATCAAATTACTAAGCAGTTTGGATTCTGAACATTCGTTTACAAATATTGAGTTGTTGAGATGAGATGGAGCGTCACATAGCATACGCAGCTTGGTAGGCAGCAGGCGCTGCGGGGGACTGAGGAGGTGGACGCCCTCGGTCGGAACTGAGACGAACGCGCATGGGCGGACCGCAGGGGCAGCAGCTCACCACGG